AAAGAAAGAAAGAAAGAAAGAAAGAAAGAAAGAAAGAAAGAAAGAAAGAAAGAAAGAAGTGACTGTGCAGAATTGTACATAGTCCATATCATATGCTATCATAAGCAAACCCAGGTTGTCCCCAACACCCCTGTCTCCAGATGTTCCTTTACCTCCACTCCACACTCATTTAATGGGTGGAGGAAGAGTGGCTGGCGATCCGGGCAGAGATGCGCATACTGTCGATGGAAATTGTCACCTAGTTGCAGCAGCATCTGCTCCTTGGCAGAATTCGTCTTGTAGGAGGCTGGTAACTGGGAGGTGTCGATGGAACTCCAGTCAAATTCACTTCATGCGACGGGAGGAGGCAAAACAGAGACGGAGAATGAACATAGTGAGATTCAGATGGGTTAATCCTGTCTGAAGAACCACTAGGGTCTCTCTTCTATTATTTCCCAGCAGTTGGTGCAAATTAAATAACTTTGGGGTCATATTGAAAAGTGCCCAATTCAAAACAGGAGGGCAGGAAACCCGACTAAGCTGCTCCCAGTGATGGCAAGTGAGCTGCACAGCCCAGTGGGCCTGTAAGTATCTTCCTATGATCTCTGTATACCTGATCCAATGGGGAACACACGAAAAATGCAATGTAGAGAGCCAGTTAGAGCGCGGCTTGTGCCATGAAGCATGAGGGGTTAGCTCCCTTCCAAAACACCTGGTCTTTTTAGTCCTTACTCTGGTAACTCTGGAGATTCCCATTATCCAGCTAAATGGATTTTTTAAAAATCTTGCTAAGCAATTGGCCTTGGTGCTATCTTGTGGCACGGAGTTCCATAATCTAGCTGTGCATTGGTGAGAGTGGATTTCATCTTCGCTGTTTCAGAAATGCAGTCTGTCATGTATTCTTGTCTGTCTGTCTGTCTCTCTCTCTCTCACACACACACACAGATTCCTACTTACGGTACAACATTTGGGATATGGACTTGGATCTCTGACAGCTTCTCTTCCAGGTCTTGGAGTTCATTACTAATCACAAAGACTTTCTTTTCTTCCTCCTCCTCTTCCCCATGCTCTCGCAGGACTTCCATCCTGCTCCCTCCTGGACTGCTGGGAGAGAAGCACTCACATGGGTTATTTTAAAAGGGGAAGAAAGGGCAACAGAGAAACATTTTTATTCTCTGCCTACAGATTTGTTTGGAATGAGGAAAGCAGAGTTGGCTGGGGGTGGGATTCCCTCTTAGGGAAAAATGTAGTATAGGGCATGATTTTAATCCATATTGGGCCTGCTGACTACTGATTAGTGTGAGATGTGGCTGGGGGAGTGGGGAAGCAGAAGGGCTGCTGCTTCTTTGATGGATTAGAAACACAGGAACTGCAGAACTGACCCATGACCCACCTAGTCTGGTATCCCGTCTCCAGCAATGGCCAGCAGTAAGCAGCTATGGAATAACCTGCCCGTAGGGGAATTTCTTCCTGACCCCCTGGAGTTAGAACTTGGTTGCTGCCATGAAGCATGAAGGTTTAGATCCCTTCCAAAACACCTAGTCATTTTAATCCTTACTATGACAACCCTGGAGGTTCCCATTATCCATATAAATGTCCACTCCTTTTGTTTTAACCCTGCTAAACAATTGGCCTGGGGGCTGTCTTGTGGCACGGAGTTCCACAAACTAGCTGTCCATTGGTGAAAAAGGATTTCCTCTTAGACATTTCCGATGTGCTGTCCTTCAGTTGGACAAGTCTGTGCTGAGGGCGCCGAGCGTGCTGTGAGGCGGGCGGTACATTGCGGGGACTTTTTAAATCTAAATAAACAGCAGAGCAGCAGAAGTATCTCCAAGGCTTGTTTTTTGTTTTTGTTTTGTTTTTTAAGCTCACCCTGATCCCAACGTGTGTTTTGGGGCTTGGGGAGATAAGGAGTGAAAATGGAGACGCAAGCGCTCTCTCTATCTGGTGTTGTTTTGGTTGGCAGCGGGAATGGCACGTAGGACGAAGACAGCAGGAGGAGGAGATTTACTGAAATAAGACAGAAATGCCCACGAAGGGTGGAGAGGAAGGAGTGATTTCACGTTGGACCATTCACTGGAGCTCTCCCTGCCCTGGGCTTTGGACTACATTCAGCCAGCCAGCCAGAGGGGAGTATCCAGCCGGAGCAAACCAGCTCATCCCATTGACAACCGCATGGCTGTATGTCTCTGGTTCCTTACTAAGATTTGTCAAACTCTCCCGCTGTGTGTGTGAAACTCTCCCTTTTCCCCTGTTCCCCACCCTGCCCCAGCTTTCCTCTTAGTGTTTGTATTGATTAGTTGCACTGATGCAGCACCTAGGGGCCTCCGTCAGGGATTAGGACCCTACTGTGCTAGGCGCTGCACCAGGGGTTAAAGATGGGACTTAGTGTGGCGAAGGGGGGGTCCCCGCCGCTCCCCCTCCGCTTTCCAGCGCCTTTTAATTACGGCCCGCGCAA